GGCCTTAACGAGCTCGTCCTTTGATCGTCCTTTGATCTGGTTACAGCAGAGGCCAGAACAGAAAGGTGTGGGCGGCTCAGACCATTGCACCCTGTCATATGAGAGTCAGTTTCGGCCATCTTAAACATAAAGGTCATTGAGTAACGTTGTGTGTTGTGTAGGAAGCGCACACACAAATGAGGGAGGGCACGTTGGATTTGTATCACCCAGATCTTTACAACCGTACCAGGCTCACCCTGATCTGATTTTCTAATGCCAAGCTGCAAGCAGAAACACACCCGTCCATCCATCCATCCGAGCGGTCAAAAAGAAAATAATAATGACTTCCTTCAGGAATAAGCCAACCACTTCATACTTTGTACAGGTGTAAAGCAAGTATCTGTGAAGGGGTGTGCAAGGTTTCGTGCACGTACGTGCACGGAAACGGGCGCTAAAGGCCCCGTGAGTCTATGCACTTCCAGGCATTTTGCGGATCGTAGGAAGCAGGTACAGAGATGAGACAGGTGGCTTTCAATTCTCCGTAATCAGATCTTTCTAATGGTATCTGGCTTATCTTTCTAGGACCTTCCTATGCGAAGCTGTGAGCCAAAATGCACTCGTCAAACCTCTAGTAGATGGCCTCAAAAATAAAAGCAAGGCCACAGTGTAAAAAAATTAATAACTTCCTTCAGGAATAAGCCAACCACTTCAAATTTTGTACAGATGTAAAGCAAGTATCTGTGAAGAGATGTGCAAAGTTTCGTGCACGTACGTGCACGGAAACGGGCGCTAGAGGCCCCGTGAGTATATGCACTTCTGGGCATTTTGCGAGTTGTAACAACCACGTACAGAAATGAGACAGGTGTCTTTCAATTCTCCGTAATCAGATCTTTCCAATGGTATCTGGCTCATCTTTCTAGGACCTTCCTACGCGAAGCTGTGAGCCAAAATGCACTCGTCAAACCTCTAGTAGATGGCCTAAAAAATAAAAGCAAGGCCACAGTGTAAAAAAATTAATAACTTCCTTCAGGAATAAGCCAACCACTTCAAACTTTGTACAGATGTAAAGCAAGTATCTGTGAAGAGATGTGCAAAGTTTCGTGCACGTACGTGCACGGAAACGGGCGCTAGAGGCCCCGTGAGTATATGCACTCCTGGGCATTTTGCGGATGGTAGGAAGCAGGTACAGAGATGAGACAGATGTCTTTCAAATCTCCGTAATTAGATCTTTCCAATGGTATCTGGCTCATCTTTCTAGGACCTTCCTACGTGAAGCTGTGAGCCAAAATGCACTCGTCAAACCTCTAGTAGATGGCCTCAAAAATAAAAGCAAGGCCACAATGTAAAAAAAATTTATAACTTCCTTCAGGAATAAGCCAAGCACTTCAAACTTTGTACATATGTAAAGCAAGTATCTGTGAAGAGATGTGCAAAGTTTCGTGCACGTACGTGCACGGAAACGGGCGCTAAAGGCCCCGTGAGTATATGCACTCCTGGGCATTTTGCGGATCGTAGGAAGCAGGCACAGAGATGAGACAAATGTCTTTCAAATCTCCGTAATTAGATCTTTCCAATGGTATCTGGCTCATCTTTTTAGGACCTTCCTACGCGAAGCTGTGAGCCAAAATGCACTCGTCAAACCTCTAGTA